TAAATACGTAAAAAAATTTGTGTTTTTACAAGAGCGACTATCACAATTTGTTGTGGCGTAATAAAAAAATTAAAAGTGAGGCCCACTAATATATAATTTTGGTAAAGAGGGTTTTGATTGGTTCACCGCATGGTGATAGAAATCACTGCGTCGTACGGAGAGCGTATGCAGAGCTGCTTGCGCTCTCCGATCACAGACCCGCGTCACCCATTCTTGTATGTGAGTGGGTTCCATTTTTTACTAATTTTAAAAAAAAAAAAATTAAAGGGATGGTTGATATGCGGCTGGGGACGGGGATGATCGGAGAGTTCACGCAGCTTGGGTAAGTAATAATTTCTCATGCGGTGAACGTACACAATAATTTGTGTTTTTACAGACGAAAATGTTGTGTGCATTACTGTAACCTTTTGTTTGTTTTATGTAAATATATTTGATGGAAGCTAAAAATCTTTGTTTTGACAGCAAATCGGCCTTCATCATTGCATTGATGTCTCCATGTCTATATATACGTCTCCATGTCTATATATATATATACACACACACACACGTATTTACATATCTACCAAGCAATGCTTTAATCATGGCCGGACATTTGTGCTTATTTTTGTAAGAAAAAACGTTTGAAAAGCAAATCTTTCCTATGATAACAAACTATCTTTTTAACTTTTAAAAAGTGAAATTCATGCATATATAAGCTAAGATGGTTTATTTGTAAAAAATTAAAATTGAAGTGGTAGATATGTAAATACATTAGAATTAAGTGGTTTGTATGCATCACGCTTTCTTGCTCATCTCCGTGTAAAACACTTCAATTATTATTCCTGAAGAGTTTGTTCGGATCAACTTCCTATTTTTAGTTTAAAAACATTTATTTAATTTAATTTTATATTATTATTTTTTTTAAAAATAAAATTAATTTTTTTTAAATACTCAAAATAATATTTAGAAGTTAATAATCATCACTAATGATATATTTTATTTCAAAATTAAACGGAAATAAATAAAAATAAGGGCATAAGATAAATTTTTTCAGCTACAGTAATTGATGAGACTTCTTCAATGAGTTTCTTCATAAAATCATCACTTTGTATGACTTTTGTATGATGGCTTTATCCATATAATATATTGATCTAGATTTGCTTTAGTGATGGGAGTATTCCAGATGCATTTTATCATTTATAATAATTTTATTTTTATTTAAATATCTGCAATAACATGAATAATTTAGTGTAATTGAACATGCAGAATATTTGAAATACTAAGTGGCATGTACTCCAATCTGTTGGTTGGCATCCACAGTATGAGATCCCTCAGGTCAAGGGTTCAAATACCTCTGGCACGGTTGGCCTTAAGGAGGTGCCGCATACACCTATACATATCTACGACCGACACAATAAAACTTATATCAATGCCTTTTATATCACCATTCATTTTAGTTCGACATATATGTTGTACCAAAAGTCCTTCCAATTATATCTTAATGGGTCAAATAAGCACCATTGTACTACTTCTATAAAATAGCACATGTTGCTTAACTAGCAAAGCACCATGGAAATATGTTGCACTCTCTACTTTCATTGACCATTCATTTGTGTTATATTGAAAAATGCCAAGACAATAAAGATTCATCCTGACTTTATAGGCTTGATGGAGGCTAATTTTAGTGACAATCTCCTCTCATTTTTCTAAAACAATCTCTTTTATTTAAAGATATAAGATTCAAACATACATGCACATACATACAAACATACAAACATGCATACATACATACATATATCAAAGTCCAAAGAATTTGAAATCACGTTAGCTTACCAGTAAGCACACCAGAAGCTCGAGTAATAGCTCTAGCAACTCTCCAAATTTCATGTTGAACCAATCGCCAAGAATCCGACCTTTTTGAAACTCTCACCTGTTCAATGGCATCATCTATGCTTGGAAAGGCCGTTGATAAGTACACATTATGATTTGATGGTCCATATACCTTGCATATCCAACACAATTAAGAGATCAAATTTAATAAAATTATAACAAAATTAAAGCAAAAAAAATGTAAAAAAAAAAAAAAACAATGTACCAAATGTTTGAACCAAGGCCTTCCAAAGAGACCATCTTGATCCGTAAATGCCCTTTCTGTCAACATCAACCTATCATTGAGTTCTCGAATTTTAATTGGGTCATTCATCCACTTTGAAAATAAAGCCTTGTCTTCCAATTCCTATATTAGTTTCAGAATTTTAATGATATGAAAAATCTGAAGTTCTCAGAAATAAACCATAATTTCTTTCCAATAAAAGGCCAACTCGTAAGATACCTTCCTCTGGTTCTCTACGTTGGAAGCTGCCTCTCTGAATTTTTGTATAGACTCATGTAATGGCACCAAACTCACTGGCTTTCCTAGCAACTTATTTTCCAACACCTTTAAGCTTTTCTGGTTAATACAAGTTAAAATTTACAGAAAGCCAAGTATCAGAATGTGAGGTAAAAAAAATGAAACTCAACCTTGCAGTAAAAAGATTGGCTCACTGCAATGCATACCATACCATAAAAAAGTGATTTAATATATATATTTTTTTAAAAGGAGGATTTACATGCATTCCACTCAATCACTATGCATTTATATATCTAACATGTAAACTTCAATTTTTACATACGTGCTACTTTACCCATGCATGTAAAGATGTATTTCACTTTATAAAAGTTAAAATAGTTAAAATTGTGGCGTTTTTTATGAGATATGAATGATTTTGGAGAAATAAATATAAAAACGTTGTTTCACCCACCCACCCCGCCCAAAAAAAGATTTACCAGCAGGTTGTAGAAAGTGTACCTGGAGCTCATATGCATAGGACATGTAATCAAAAGGCAATAACACCTCATCTGCCAACTTTAAAGCCACTAGACCCAAAATGTTTGCAGCTATAATGAAAATAATCAGCTAGGATGAGAGATTCTATATTTCAAGTTCTCGAACAATAATTAACAGAATAAAAAGGTGTATAAGAGGAGCAAATATTACATGTGACGACCGCACATCCGAACGATGGTTCGGATGGGCCGCCGTGCGATACACAGAGGCGTGATCACATTCGGACTGTCGTTCAGACGTGTGGTCCGCCGCACGTATTATTTTCGCGTGCAAGAGAGATACCAGTTAGCCATATTATTTTCAATAAAAAAATTGCATTGGTAAGCTTATGATGCATTTTAAATCATTGTATAAAAAATGCACAACAAATAATTAAAATGAAGGAAAATTTACATACACACGACCAAATTCTTAAATATTTACATAACTAAAACCTAAAATTTCATATTTATATTTATAACACTATGGTGTGATAAACAATGTATGAAAAGGTGTGTTTCGCCTTTTAAAAGTAGGTGGTAAAGATATTTTAATGTGATATGAAAGATTTGAGTGCTATACATTTAAAAATTAAGGTTTGGATTTTAGGTATGTAAAGGCCCCTTAGATAAAATGAGAGTTAATACAATGATATAAAGCGTTTGTATAACAACTATAAGATAAATATTTTGAACTATAAAATTATTGATCCAAGTGCTTTCTTACATAATTCAATTTGTAAGTGTGAGCTCAAGGGTTTAAAATATAAAGTGAATAATCAAGAGCTGCAATGATTTCGGCTTTGGTTAGTAGAGTACTCTAAGTTATTCATATTGAATTGACTACATAAAATCAATGAAGGCCACATTAGATAAATTTAAAGATGGTCTATAATTATTCAAAAAAGACTTTAGATGTTACAACAGTTATTTGATAATTTTTAGAAATTTATTTAAATT